AACGTTTATCCTATAAGTATCAAAATACTTTACAACCAACATACATTTATTAACATTTTTAAAACTTAAAAAATTGTTCGTATGTTTTCAACAATTAAATACTACAAGTTTTTTCATATTGTTTTATATTCTGAGTGAAGATGAATAATGTATTGAATTTACAATGATGTTTTTTTCGTGTATGAACCATTTTTCATAAAAAAAAAAAAAAAATGCTATGATTTTCAGCCTTAACACGTTATCTGGTAGTATAGTGAATCTAGTTAGTTGTTTGAAACATAAAAATTGAGTAATTCCTAAAATATTTCGTAAAAGAAAAAAGGAATTTTTACAAAAAACCAGTTCTCAGCAAAAACAATTATCTCATTTTGTTGAAATTCAAAMAAAATAAAAATCTCAAATAATTAAAATGTTAGCCAAATGTGTAATTTAGTATATACAATTAAAAAAAATATTGAAACGCTCTTAGAGACATATTTATTTTATGTTTTAAAAAAAAAAAAACTTTTATTCTTTACAACGAAGTTATTTTATAGTTTAAAATGTGTAAAATGTTTAATTTCTATAGATATCGATTGAAAAATTAATACTAAATGTATCATAAGTAATTAATACTAATTTCAAAAAGTCTTAACAAGTTTTAGCACAGTAATATTTTTACTATCTAAATTTAAATTTAGAAATTTGACAAAGTTATGCAGGCACCTAAGTAAACGAAACATAAAGGTTTTAGTAATTTTATTCTAATTCAAAAATATTTTTGATGGATATTTGAAACATTAAACTCATATTATTATTTTTTTTACAAACAATGAAAGTCATTTTTAAATGCATATTTTGGCAAAAAATTATTCAATCTAACGTAATTACTATGTCGAATAGTAAAATAAATTACTTTTATAGCAACATAAATACACCATAAAATAATGTTAGTACCTAATAATAAGGTTGGCTGACCAGATACAATTTCTGTATAGAATGATTTATCATTTATTTAAAATTAAATAAATATATTACAATGCATTTCTCAATGACGAATTACTCGTGACACTATTACTGTACAGTAGAGTGGTTACTAAATAATAAATACCCCTTTTTACTATTAATAATTCTAATAGTTCTATAATCTTTGGAGATTGGTTAGTTAATCATTTCATTTTTCACATAATATCATAATGGATTTGTTTTATGMAATGTATTTGCAATATTCGTTCCTTATAAAATAAAATATCAGATTCGTTTAACATAACACATTCATTATTCAAAAAGGAATTTTTAATTTTAATTAAATTTTTTTACACTCATAGTGTTTAGTTTGTTACTTTTTCTAATTATAGCTTCATAGTTTTAATTTCGCTTTTGAAAGCAAAATATTTTTTCTGAGTATTTTGATACATACAAATTGAATTTAGAATGAGTAGTTTAAGTGTTATAAGTATTTAAAATTTAGATGAGCTGAATATTAGTGAACCAAAATTTCGCAAGACAACCGCATACTTCTTCACTCTATCCATCGTATACTTGTAAGTCATAAATGAATTATGAGTTATAAGTATAACTCATAATTCTTAAAACTACTAGTTTAGAATTCGATTTTCATGTATCGAAATCCTTAGAAAAATATTCTTCTTTTTGAATATAAAAATAGAACTGTATGTTATGACTCAAAAAAGGAAACACTTACTCTAGGTACACATAAATTTTGAGATACAATTGATTGTCAAAGAAAATACACTTTTTTATAACGTGAACTATAATTATAACAAAATTTAAAAAATATATAATCTTTTACTTATTTATTATTAGTGTTATCTAAAATATTCTAACCTCTTATGGTTGATACTATTTAAAAATCATATTTCATCTAATACTACATATGCGCGTATATATAAAATATAGTATTCGATAATTTTMCACATTATCTTTGTTTTTGTTGTTCTCTGTGTCTGCTGTAATAAGCCAATCACCTTTCAGAAATTAAATGATTGACAGTATCAGAATGATCTGCTAACGGCGGGGGTAAAAACGSTAAAAATATATATTATATAACTTCCGTCCTGACAAATTTACTGAATTATCGCATGCAACTCGCATACCTTTTGGGTTTTTAATTAATCTCTTCGAGTCAAACGAAATTAAGATATTATAATGACGATGACTGACCGCCCATCACTGGTGTATCGATCACATTATTATTATTTATTTTTTTTTTTCAATCTGCACGGCTGAGMATTTCTTTTCATTATATAATATTATTTATATATTTATTTTTATTTTTTTGTGAATAATTGAGGAGCMCAACGAGCTGCAATACGGGTTTTTTATACACTTTTTTTTCACCTCGGTGGCCGTCCCTTCGCGTCCGACGCAGTGCCGTCGTATGATTAAGCATGAATGATAGCCCTCCGGTGCAGGAATTAGCAGCTGTGTGCAAAGTGCCAGTAAATTGTCGAGCATTTATTTAAGCCCCGCGCGTGGAATACACACGTATATCCTGTATCTATATTTTTATATATATAACCCGTGGTGCGTGGGTGGGCGGGTGTTTGCGAGTGTGTAAAACGAATATTTTTAACGGGCGTGTCGTCGTCGCTACACCGTCGCCGTGAGAGGCACACCAGGTGCGGTGGAGTTTTGTGCCCGACGATCGTTTGTCATCGTATGCGGTCTGCAGATTAGACACGGAGAAGGCGCTTTAAATGCACAGACGTGTAATCATTAGTGTCCACACTCTACTCTGCCCTACGATATAGGTCTACTAACTGCACCGGCATAATTGCGTTGCTCCAGAGGTTTTGCATCCGCATCAAGTCGTGGATACGTCAGAATAATAATCAGGCACGTAAATAGGTGTTTTTTTTTCGTGGGGGGGG